AGTTAACATTAATTAAATATAATTTCATTAGATACACTTTAATATTATGATACAGAATATGACAAGGAGTAAAGTGACCATCCCAGGGCTAGATGGCCGAGATTAAATTGTTCTGTCTGACGACAGGTCCGTATGAACAGGATCCTTCCATCCTTTTCTGGGACTGGGACCTGTTCATATACGTTTTGGCAGATGATCCAGAAGTGGTTTGCCCTTGCCTTCTTCTGTGTGTGAATGGAGTAATTGTTGGGATGGCACGGAGGAAAACTCCGTGTTGCCTAGACCACGGCCTTGCCCAACACAAGTTATAAATTCGGGCACCGCCGGGAATCGAACCCGAGACCCCAGGGTTACAAGGCCAGCGTTCTAACCGCTGGACCACCGTGGCTATTTCTGAATATATTTTTTTTTAATTTAGTGTTCTGTCTGAGGACAGGTCCATATGAACAGGATCCTTCCATCCTTTTCTCGGACTGGGACCTGTTCATATACGTTCTTGGCAGATGATCCAGAAGTGGTTTGCCATTGCCTTCTTAAGGGCTAGGAATGTTGACTTTCACCACTGCGTCCATACCAAAGTAAATGTACGTCCAAAGAATACGGAGGGTATTAACCCCCATCCTTCTTTTGGCGGGTGCTGTTATTAACGTTTTAATATTATCCTTATATTTACGCCTAAGGCAAATGTTAACGGAAACGCAGACTGTTCGTTAAGTAGACACGATTAGAAAAATTGAAAACAGAAACAGACGAGTTTTAATCTGTGTATCTCTTCTATAAATGTATATTTTTAAACATAACAAGTTAGCAGTATCCCGACAAAAACAGGGAAGATGGAATCAAACATATGACAGGGACAAACGCGGTATAAGAAGTCATATTGACACCGCGTAAAATCTCCTGCTGTTTACTGAATCATCTTCTTCCAGAGACGAGTACAAATAACACGCGTCGTAAATTAACAAAGAATAAGAAGAAGATGCAGGAGAGAATGCCACGATTATTCATGGGCATGAAGCCTGGGGTTTGTCGACATTTATTTCTCTGCTGTCTCGAAGTCTCATGGGAGCGCGTATGTTAGAGAACATGTAGAAGCCTTGACACACTACTAATTACGGCGCTAGACACAGGGCGTCAAAATGACAGCCAAATTAAAGAAGATGCATGGATGTAATGGCAGAGCTCGTTTATAGAGATGGCATAAACAATTGGTACGCCATCCTGTGCTGAACCACGGCCACACTGACGTCAGCTTGTTCAAATATCATTTTAAATAATATTATTCTCATACACATATAACATTAGGCAAATGAACAAAGAAGAAATTTTGCGATGGGCTGTACGTGTAGCTCGAGAAAATAAGCCGAGAAATAGATCACTATATACAGATACTTCGTTATGAAACCAAGTACTGCTAAGGAATTATCTAAAGAAAAACGACAGGCCGACAAACTTGAGTCAGGATACATAATAACTATGTCTAGGTTCGAACCTAGTGCCACTGAACACAGTTCCAAACCAACAGGAGTCTATAAACTTACTCGGTAACGATGAAAAATAAAGAACAAGCCTGGAAAGTGTAATCCTTCACGGAATAAACATATTCCATATTTAACAAAAGTAATTTAAACACTTGGTTAAGAAATGAAAACGAGTGGGGGAGTGGAGGTAAGGATCCGCGCACTCCGACACGATTCTAGAGAAGAGAATAATCCTTGACTCTGCCCCTGTTCGGAATAGAACCCCAGTCATCAGCCCCGCAGCCAGACACTAAACAGAATATGAAAGTGTTTCTAATACGTCATTAGGAAACATTTAAGATGTAATCTGCACGACTTCGCCTATCAGCGTATCTTGCATGAAATTAAAAAAACGTTTAGACAAAAAATATTAATTTGTATTTAACGTATATGAACAAATAAATTACTTTTTTTTAACTACATTGCATTTATTATTTCCATCTACACAATAGCCGCCGTGAGAGTTTATACGTGTATAATGCTTTGAATATTTGGCCTTCTATCCAAGAAAATTCAGATCTCCAAACAGTAGATAAACTAAACATGGGGTAAAGCAGTTAATTCCAACACCAAAATTAAAATAAACGCATAAAGTTTTTTTTAGAAAGTTACAATAAACAACGATCTTGGCAAAACACAATAAATTAATTAATTCTGACATCTTTACAAATTCTTAGTAGAAGAAACTTTAAAGGCGACAAACGAGAAATATATGCAATGCTCTGAGAGCAGAAATTCAGTGAAAATCTCTATACAATCAGGCGCTCAGATTTATACATAAATCTTGCATCGAATTCATTTGAATTTCTGTGTACGACCAACATTATTAATTAAGAGTCGAATAGAGTATTCTCCTATGCTGTGTGCACAAAGAGCATAAAAATTAACCTAAAATTTTCCAGCGTGGCAGACATAAAAACGAATTAATTATAACATATTTTGCCATTCTCGCTCGTCCTTTTAATCTTGGGAAACATAGGAGGCCATGCAAGCTGAGAGAGAAGCCTGTTATTGACTGAGTACACTTCATTATCCTACGCTCTTTGTCATTAATTTCCCGCGCTATAATTGCCGATGACACCTTAAAGAACTGCTTATTTAATAAATCAAGAGGTTAAATATATTTATTTATGTAAATTAGAAACCAGCTAATTGTGTTTTAATTCGTAAAGAAGCATCAGACAGCTTATGAGATCGAGATAATAAAATTATAAGGATTCAAAATAGGATCCTGTATTTTTAATATTACGTACGTTATAATTGTTTTTTAAAAAAAAGTCTGATTGGCACCGCTTAGCTATAAATTAATCTAAATGAAATATTGGACTCAGCTTTAACATAAATTGTAACCAATTACTTATCTCTGTTTGCAAAAAAAAAATCCTGCCAACGGTTCCTATTCTGGGTTATGCAAATGCAGTCCTCACCCCCAAATCCTATTTCCCAAAGTAAGAATTTTAATATTATCCTTCCATCCACACCTGGGTCTTCCAAGTAGTTTTCTTTCTCTCTACCCTTTAACACATTAATTGCAAATAGCACGATGTAATTTGTTCTGATGGACTGCAGGTAGAGGGAAAGAACTACAAAAGCAAAGGAACATTTCACCGTTCTAATGCGCGAATGAAAGGGCGCCAGCCGCACAGTCTAATAAATTGTAATTAAACAAACGAAGACTTGTATCTTATATGGATGGAATATTCACTTCAGTAGACAATGGAAATATCAACATGGTCAGTGATAACAAAGTAACATATACCGTAATTAAACTGTACGTGGGAACATGGTCCCGTGAAAATTAAAATTTTAAAACAAGTTTTTGCAAGCAACTTCTACCGCCGTAAATACTAATTTTCATCAGAATGTCACGCGTGACCCATATTCTGAAGTTCTCTTTCACCGGCTCTGTTGTTGCCATGAAAACGAGTCGCGATAACAAATGACAATCAGCGCCAATTCTTCACGGGCTGTTCGAATCGGAATAAAGCCGAGAATGTTTCCGGTGCTGAGTATGGACCACATCATATCACGGGAAAGTACGCGTGTGAAATTTTGTTTTTGTTCAAAACATTATATACAGATACAAGGGGAAGGGCAGATTCTGACGAACTCAGACAAATACATTTCCGGGATGCCAGACAGATTACAGTTATCCGCAAAGTGCTTTACTCTCATGCCGAATTATCCACAAATCTGGTAATATTTGTGTTCGGCGTCAGAGTCCAACTCAGTTTTCTTCAGGTTCTCAAACACACTAAACATCATGCAGAAGGACATTACTTGTAACTATGACGGTCGATCAGCCAGTCAAGAAATTTCCCACTTAAATGGATCCAGTAGGTTCATTACCATCTTCACAAAAGCCAGAAAAATTACGTGGTATTCCAAAATCACTCATCATCAACACAATGCAAACGCAAGCAAAATATAAATGGTTAAGACGAGTCTCTCGCAAATGGACGACACGGCAGCGAAAGCAGAATTCTTTACATATATTTAGGAAGTATGTGGAAGGAAGCAGTCGTGGCCGATTAAACAGTTGAATCCAGAAATGATTGTTAAGACACTGAGGAAAAACAATAAAAAACTCACTAAGAAAAGATGTAAAAATTACGTGACAGACGCTTCAGATAAAGGTAGACAAATTCTCATAATCCTCGAAGAGCACAGCAGTCTGTGTGTACCCCGGCATGTTTCCACTGACAGGCAGATAAATCCACTTACCGTAATTACCTTTGCATCTGATCTCACACTCTCTGTCCATCGCCGCGAAAGAGCTCATGAATCAACCCCGCAACATTTCAGTTAACCAAACAAGACTCACCTTGACCTTCTTGTCAATGTCAGGCTTCTCTATGAGGGACGTCGTGACGGTCGGGGGTGGCTGAGGCCGTCCCTGGTTCTCGACGTCGTAATTATCACTCATGTTTGAGCCCTTTGATCCTTTGCGAGGAACTGTTGAAGGTGGTTCTGGTGACGTCAGAGACACTGGTTCCTCAAGGTCATCTTCTTCGGCACTCCCTGAAAGAGAGAGAAACAGATACTGAAGCTATGAGACGACGTTCGCAGTTTTCAGAAGTAAATTAATGAACACACTTATCTCTTACTTAACCTTATTTATTTATGAGTTCTTTGAAAAAAATATTAATTAAAGCATTTCGTAGTTATCGCTTTTTTCTCTCCTTGAATTTACTACATAACATTTTTGTTTTTCAAATAAAAGCTTTTTTAGTATTTAGGATATGAGGTTATAACGGCGGTGAGTCAGATGATGGCTGTCTTTTGGGTTATAGCGCCGTGTAGTCTGTTAAAAGTTTACCAACGTTTCAGAGGTCCTTGCTGACTCCATTATCAGGGAGCTATAACCCAGAAGACAGAAATCTTCGAAAGATTTTTTGTTCATTCCATTCAGACATTAAGTTTATTGTATTTTCTTTTGAAAGAGTTAAAATGTAAAACTTTTAGTGGGTTCTAAATCGTGTTCCGGATAAATAGCGTTAAGTAATCTGTAAATGAATGAATAACACGGCTTCTGTTGTCAAGGAAACAGACTGTGGTTCACGTGTGGTGTTTGTATAGGTGTGAAACCTGATCTCTTACACTTAGGAAAATCACAGACTGAGGGTGTCTGAGAAATTCACACAAAATTTTAGATGAAAACCCCCAATAGAAGAGGAAAGTTAGAATAAGGGAATATTTGAGGGGGGGGGGGTAATAATAATATTGATCTTAAAAAGAAATGGGTCGTGAGGAGCGAACTGAAATGATCTGGAGCAGGATAGGTTACAGTGGCGGCCTTTTGTGAACACGGTAATGAACCTTCGGATCCCATGAATGGCGGGGAATTTATGGAGTAACTGAGGGATTATAAGCTTCAAGAAAGGATGTACTCTCGTGGAACTAATTCACTAGGATTAATAAACAGAGAGGCCTATAGGTTCAAGAGTAACTACCTAATTTTACTGCATACATTTCAACTAAATTACTGTACGAATCCAAAGGGACTGTTATGAACGACAAACAGTTGAAGAAGATACCGATATGTACAGCAAAGAAGTGCAAGTCTCTTGAAATACGGCAGCTGAACAAGCAAACAAAACTGATGACTCAAAACACACGAATTTTGAGCTTTCACACACCAAAATCTTATTTAGAACTTAATAAACTTTACTTCAGATCACTGTTTCTCACTCAGAATGTGACTTTCGCTACAATCTTGAAACAGTACGAAACAAATTCGACGAGAAACAAGTTCTTCTCTTCTTCATCGAATCCCTGGAAATTTGTCAGGCTGCAAGAAAGTATTTCGTTACATTCCAAAATCAAATGTAAGAAACCACTACCACTGGCTGCTGACTTCTGCAGAGAAATAAAAGTAATTTAACTGTCGAAGTTATTCGACATTCGAGTCTCCCATGGTCGATCGTTGTCCTCTAGGTTGTGCCGCTGAGTTTTCTTGCAGGTGGTTGTAAGTTTTCCGAAGGAACATGTCGCCTCTATCTTCACAGTCCGATTACCCTCTGAAATGTTCGTAACAACCTGCAAAGCCACATGACGTCACAACCCAGAAGATCGTAATCGACGCCGAAGTTACAATCCACGTGGCGCTGCTGGAATGGAGGTTTACTACGAAATTCAAGTACGGAATGCTTGTCGTAAGAAAATGCCGTATTTTTCCAAAAGATTTATTACGATAACACACTCCCTCGGCCTGCAGGACATCGTAACGGCCTCTTCCTTTGAGACACGTAAACCATAACCGTAACAGTATGAGGTTTCACAAACAGAGCAAATGTTATTGTAAAATCTGAGTGTTATTACGTTACGTTATGATAATCCTAAGTTTGAACCGATAGTAACGGTTACCTTCTTCACGAAAGCCTCGATTTTAGTACGGTGTCTCGCTTCTACATACAGATAAGACGTTTATCGAATCAAACTTCACTGAACTGGATAAAATTCTTGAAATGTATCGCCTCAGAGCGGATTTAAGAATACCGACGACCATGAGATGGATTTTATGGCAGCCGTGCTGTGACGTTCCAAACAACTAACTATCGTGATACGGGGTGTCAGGGTTTATGGTTGGGAACAAATAGCCTAAGGACGGTTAAACCTCAAAATTGAAAAGGGAGCATGAGAGAATATTTTTCTAACACTTTATACAAGGAAGGAGAAGGAAGAAAAACATTATATTTATTGTGATCCTTTGAAGCGTGAAGGTAACCTAAACAATAAGTTATTTATGAAATCAATTCCTATCTTAAAAAAGAAACTCGTGTTCATTACAAAAATCAATCGGGTTATTCTGTTTAAGGTAACTCCTTGCTTATCCGGCGAATCATAAAACTCCACAAATATTCCCTATTGACAAAATGCAGAGGTACTGAATGTTAAGCACGTGGTACACATATTAAAGGGTTAAGGATTCAGAAGGATACCTGAGGGTGAGAAAATTTTCTGTGTTAAGCGCAGCTATTTAACGACTCAATACGAGTTTAGACATGTAACAGCTTAGCCAGGTCCGCAGTGGCCCCGTGCCGCTTCGTCGCTGGGACCGTGGTTTCGAATCCCACTCAAGCCACGGATGTTTGTCCGGGATTTTCTGTGTTGTGCTGTCCTGTGTTCAGGTAGAGGCCTTGCGACGGGCCGATCCCTCGTCCAAGGAGTCCTACCGAATGTCTATAGATCAAAGCCAATGAAAAGTTGGGACCCGCAGTGCTCTGGCACTTGAAGAACGGGTCGTTCCCAGTATAGCTTAGTCAGTTACACACAAGGCCCTTCGCCCGGGAAGGCCATATTCAAACCTTGCTTAGTTCATTTGAAATGTGTGGTTGCTTAAGTTGCACTGAAAAAGATTATTCTCTTAGAATACTTCGGATTTCCCCTGACAAATGGCATTTCACGTATCCTCGCTATTCTTCTAGAATGATCAGCATCTTCACGAAGTGACGCAATTGATCAATTTCACACAGCAGTGACAATAAAGAGATTTATTTGAAAGCATTAAACCAGCGCTCCTCTGCAGAAGCCATGATTCAGGCCATGGAAGTTAATTGTATCTTCTACGAAGAAGACACCTTATAGAAGGGAATAAAGAATAAAAGTACAGAAAAAGAAGAAGAAGAAGAAACAAATAACAAGCAGAATCTATGCAAGTGACAGCCGATACCACGTGTGGGCAATTCTTTCTAAAATGGCAGCCGATTAACAGATATGATCCCAAGCTTTTGAACACTGCTGGTTTACTGCGAACAATTTATCCGGAAAAGGAACTCCGCTGGAACAGGACCATCAGCTCGCGACAAAGAGATAGCGTTCTTGGAGCGGAACTAACTCTAGAGTCATGGCATCTTGCCCAGACCGCGACGTTTACAAAACGTATTGGCTGCGCATCCGGCGATAAATAGCATTATCCACTAACATTCTGATCACAGTTGACGAATAGGATCGTTAAACATCCATAGATTCCTTATGTATTCACCTTCTTTTGTAAAGCGAGCCCCAATGCACGAGGTCTTTATACAAAAATTTATAATTGCTCATATAATTAAGACATTGCGAAATTTGGAACCATACGAACTGAATGTTGAGATTTCAGGTTCTTACGGAGGAAAGTATGAAGATCACTGTCTTCTGGGTTGTTGCGATGTGTAGTCAGGTAGAAATATACGACGTTTCAGAGATGCTTGCAGCCTCCATGTTCACAAAAACTCGCCTTTGGCCACTATCCTGATGCAGGAGAATACAAGTCCACCCCGTC